CTCGGGATGCCAGTCGATTGAAAAAACTGGACCACTGACGTGTGCGACAAACGCTTGCAAATAATTGTCGATCTTGCGCGAGTCCCATAGCTGCACAAAACAAAATATTCCGAATTAGGCACGAGGAATATCAAAACACGGACCGAAAAACCGTTTTCTTATTGCAGTTGTTCTACCGTGCATTGTATTTATTATTATTTATATTATACTATTATTGCATTGTATTTATTGCCCGAATTAAAATGTTTGTTACCCATGATAAAGCCAGGCGCACACGACGCGATTTTTGTCGTACAATTTTAGTCGGTCGACTAAATCGTTGTCATCGACAAATTATTGCCAATATCCTTTAAGCGATTTCAATCAGCAATCGGAATATATAAAAACAGTTTGATATTTGCCGATTTCAAAATCGGCCGACTAAAATCGTACGACAAAAATCGCGTCGTGTGCGCCTGGCTATAACTGGCATTTCCTGTATTTATTCACAGTAGACTTGTTACCCAGTCAAAGATAATATCACGCCTAGCGGCAGGCCCCGACCCCTATGCAAATTGACTTAGTGATTATGGAACACAAATATCCCACCTGAATTTCGCCGTTTTCCATTGCTGCAGCAAAATATCTGGCGTCAGATGGTTTGAACTAAAAAAGAAGAAGTAATAAGAAAGGATCCATCAATTAATCGAAAAAAGGATAACATGCAAAAAAGCAAATTTTAAAGCTTTAGTTTGAAAAATAGCTGAACATCTGTAAAAAACTAAAATATTTCAACACTATGCAAACTAACAGAAAACTATTGTATATAGCTGTTAACAATCCGATTTTATAGAAAGTTGAGTTGAGGGAATTATAGAGCATAGGAAATAGACGGAGTTACATGCACACTTTCTTTTCTTTGTGAAATTGTTTCGTAAAAGATGATGCTTTTTCAATTTCAAGTACCTTCACGTCACGGACGCTGGCGTTCTGCGACTTTCCTTTAAATGTCAAACACGCGTCCGCCTTACGAAGATCCTATTAAAAAAGAGAATCCTCTCATATATAACAAAGAAAGAAACCCCGAATACGCTGCAGAATTGCAACCATCAACAATTGCAAGCGTTTAAACTTTACATGGAAGGATTGAAAGATGAGGGAAGGCCTTCCCAAAAATGATGTGATGACATTACTTTTGATCCTTTTTTGCGATTAACAATTTAGCAAGATCTCTCTCCTGAATAACTATATCCAAGTTTATAAACTGATCATCAAGCTGGGGATGATGATTTGGTGGTGTACATAATTGCAAGTACCTACGTTCACTGTTTAATAGGCCCCACTATTTAACATCAAAATTTTTTCCAACATGGCGAAATTTCCTCCGGGTGGTACATGCACAATGTTTTTGAACGTTGCAGTATGTGTAAGATGCATAACACACCGTCATCGAGGTTTTAAAACCACCCTTCAAATACAATACCAAGGTATCACTAACAAAATAACGCATGGTGCCATCTTGTGAGCCACTGATCAAGATATCACGTTCGGTAGGATGGAACGAAATCCTATTCACAGTTCTTCTGTGTTCTGCTATGTCTGAATGAACATCACAGGAAGAAAGAAAATTACTTAAAATCCATTAAAAAAGCCAGACGAAAGAAATTAAGAAATATAGTAAATAACTCGTGGAAATGTGTAATAGCAAAGAGAGTAAAACAACATTTTCATAAATTTCAGATTCTTCGAATGACACTTTTAATGCAGGTTCGTGGGAGGGAGCGGGTGGGCTCGAGAATTGCCAATGGTTGGAACTGTTTGTTGGAATATGATTCCATATATAGCCTTTTTCTCGATAATCCGTTTGCCTTTCTTTCCAATTTAATATTTTCGCCCTGCTTGTAATGTATATCTGACAGGACATTCACCTTCAAACCTCTATGCACGACATCTAATTATGAATTTTGTCATGCACTTTTTCCTCAGAAAAAAAATGACTGTAAAATGTCGGACAAAAATGGTTAAATGCTTTACACGTACCTCTTTTCCCGCAGTTCACTTGCTTCGCGTTTTTTGCCAAATTCACATTCCATACTAAGATAGTTCCATTGCCTGCTGCTGTCGCCAGCCTTTCATCTACACCAATGCAATGTTTCGTTAAAATTCAACATCTTATGCAATGATTCATTAAAATTCCTGCAGTGCTGTATTCCCCAGTATTAAGCCTTCACACGGACAAAACCCGGCGGTAGAAGGTAGTAGTTGTGGATCCAGGGTAAGAAAAAGTAAATTTCTACAGCTCTCATTGGTAATCAAATTGGTATATCAAAAAATATTCTTTAGAAATCAAAAACCATGCAATATAGCGTTGTTATTTTATATTTTTGATTTAAAATTAAGCCGTGCAATTCATTACCCTGAATCCGTTAGTGGAAAAAAGACTGGCTGCAGTTTTTTTCCTAATGGGTTGAAAAGTACACTTCCAGGCAAATGAAAAATCAAAAATACTTTATTGGAATTGAGTTCTAAAGTCGCTTTTCAGTCTACAACACCCATTTAATGTGGTCAACGTGTCAACACAACTTAATATTTACCTGTAGCTGTAGCATTTAATAACGGTTTATGATAAATGTCAAGCACATCACTGAGTTATCTTTTTTTACTCCTTCAATCAAGGATTAAAGTTTGCACACTTTCCTACCTCCAGCAGGTTCCCATCTCACATCAGTCATGCTGTAATCCAGGCCCAATTTCTTATTCGCGCTACACAGATTGGCCACTTCACTAAACACGTTCTTCTGAACTTGCAAGATTTTAAGCACTATAGAGAAAAATATAAGAGATTCGTTATTGAAATTGAATCTAGCAAAGTTAAAACGGGAACTACTTATGAAGTCGTTCAAAGCCAATGTAGGAAATTTAGTTTAGAAGTTGGGGGGGGAGGCATGTTGCCGCCTTCCAAATTTTCAATAATATTTTTCATTGACACCTAACATTTTCGAAGTATAAATATTAAAGCCCAACATAGTGCTTTCAGTAAAGCCATAAGAGACAATCAAACCATTTGAGAATAATAAGAATATATTTGGTAGTAACGTTTCGTCTTAACTTAAGACATCTTCAGACTAAATGATAAATTACATGATAATTTGAATATGTAGACTAGTAATATATTTACAAGGTATCAATTTACAAAAGGTGATAACAAGGACAACCTAAGAACAAGCGGTACATGAGAGGACAAGGGACAGAGACGTCACGACACGATGACAATACGAACTAAGGACTAAAATAAATTGAGAGGGATAGAGTTACTGCCCAAAGCCTTTTTTATGCAGGGAAACTCCGATCATCAAATTCGTAGCATATGCGGAAACGCGAACGACAAATGTGAACGCGATGAGATCAGTACTGTAATAATTGGAGCCGCAATGAGAAACTAACATGATAAAAATTGTACAGATATTTTATAACTGTTGTAAATGGATTTTTTTTACCTGAAGATGGATTAAAAAAATTAATATTATTCTACTGTTATCACCCACCTTCAATTATTACACTGATCAATTTATTACACTGATCGAATATACCATGCATACAGCTACCTGCTACCAGCATATTCGACCTCGTATGTCACCCCAGTTGAATATATTTTGGCCTGGCTCAAAATATACCATACACAGGTATTTTTGACCTAATTATTATGCAATATTATTGATTGACAGACTTCTACCTTTTCTTCCAGCCACTGCAATAAAAGATGGTTCTTTTGTAGAAATATCCATGGCAGTTATTGGTTCTGTATTGAAAACATTGTAGCCGCTGGACTTGCCAGTACCACCTAGCATGATATTTCAAAAAAGAACACTGCAACATACCAAAAAACTATTGCGGTTGGATTTTGCGTATACAACATTGTATGTATATATATATATATATATATTCCAAAACTGGAATTTTTGTTTAGTCGTCTGATGATCGCTTTGCTTTTATAGCTTAGTGTACGTGAAACACTGTGTAGCAACGACTTTATTTTGAGATTAAAGAATTAGTTAAATATTTACGCTGTGCTTTTTTTTGTATTGAGCACTCTTCTTGTCTTATTACAAACAAATAAAATTTTGAATAGGCGGTGATAAATCCTATACAGATGAAACAGACTGCATATATAATAATACAGGGTTCAGGTTTGCAAAATCATTTTTCTGCTGCAGAAATGGATGCAGTATGATGCACTACAGAATGCACTATAATATAGGTAAATGCACTATATACTCATGTGTGCCAAACTTTTTTTATTAATATACGCAATAATTCCATGAAAGAGTTCTCTCGTGAACCATGGTCAGTGTTGTGCACCCACACCTACATCATTAATACTGGTATAATATTAAACAATATAGAAAATGAAAATCAAATTACAGTACAGTCTACAGACGAGGAATATTCTGGCACATACGTTTAGTTTTGGATTTATTTCAATTATCAGCTTGCAACTATTGCACACTTTATAATTTTGCTAAAATCTCGTTTCCTCGCGTTATTTTCGGAAAGATTAATTTGAGATTTTGCAATTTCTTTTTAATATATATGATCGACATACACACATACCTTTCTCTGCAGCACGCATGATCAGCGCGAACAAATTTCTGTTTCAGTGGCTTATATCGTTGCAAATGAGTTCACTTATTGTTTCTCGTTCATATTTCATAGAACGTATCGAAAAAATTAAAAATATTGTTACATTCCGTAGGTTTTTGATACAAACTTGTTGAAGTGTTCTGTTTTGAATTTTGATCAACGGAGAAATACTTCATGTAACATGTAGTTTGTTACCGTGACGCCATGTGCTTTCTTTTTAGTTTAAAATGATGCGCAAATGCAACTTTATTATGAAAACCCGTTCACACATTTGTCACGGGAATGACAAAAAATAATAACATTTCGTTCTGTTCCAAAAACATAGTGATAAATTTAATCGTTACATACAGGTGTCAGAAATCTCTGATTCCTGCCTTGCCTAACTTTAAATATCTTCATAAAATTAATTCTACAAGTTCATGTTCCGCTACTATGTGCAAGCAAAATATTTATACATAAATTAGAGTAATCTTATTTCAATTTAAGTTAAAGTAATATCGCTAACATTGTTAGCATTTTTTTCTCATCGTATTTATAACAAACTGCCATTTTTATTTTACGGTAGTGCCTGGTCTCCGTAAATGTGGCAATCACAGATTCCTACAGCTTCTTTCTTAATCCGACAATATAACTTGCCTGAATACAATAAGATTAACGAGCTTTTATATTGTACATATACTCTACGAAAAAGAGAAAAAGTTCATTTATTTGTACCGCATCACCTTAAATACTTTTTTGTGTAAGTACTTCGCTCTAATCTGGATACCAAGTTAAAGACAAATATGAATTGCGCGTATACAATACGCGGCAATAAAAAGATGCATCGCATTTATACATGTTCAAAACACGTCTTTTAATTAAGTGACGGTTTAGGCTCGGTTTTCCAGTCTATGATAACATAAGGCCATTTAGTTCTTAAACAGTTTAGAAATGGTCCATCTGATAAACAAATTACATCTCCTGACAGCAGGGTACATACTCCCTCAGAATAGACAACCTAAAAAACCGATCAGAGAATAGATTACCATAACAACGTTCGTGATCAACAGACGTTCAAGGACTACAATCAGGACGTCGACCGGCTTTAATGATGCGATCACGTATTCGTTCCAACCACCGATCTTAGCGTGTCTTAGACATTTTAAAAATTTTATTTTTACATCAACTACACATTTTATGCTTACAGTTACGCTGATCGAATGGGAACAGCGAGAAAGAAATGCCCCACCTTTTTTCTATTATCTTCCTTGCTACAGCACTTTGCCAATCCGTTGTAATGATACACTGGAAAACATTTCGCAAAGTCAGACTGCTCCGACACGCTGTTTTTCTACAGTAAGAATAACTTTTTATTATCATTGTTATTCATCCCTTAATTTAATGGTATACAGCGGTTTCAAAATCCCAAATTGGATAACGCAACACAAAACGATTTGAGAGAACTTTTACGAGAATTTTTCAGGGACACTATTCAGAGCCGAAGACAGAATGGCGAAAAAAATGTTGTGTTGTTCTAGAAGCTCTTGCAAATCTAAAAAAGTTTTTTCACAGCGAGAAAATACCAAAACTTCGTCAATTTTTTGTGCCTGAAACTTTCACCTCCGTTTAAAATAATTTGATGGCAGTAATTTGATTGTACTAATTAGCGTAACACAAGAGGTTTTAATTTGAAACATTTATTCAGCGACGTTTCGAATAGTTTAGGTAGCCATCTTTAGGTTTTCACTATATATTGGGATTATGAGCACACATGTTGGGATTATGATGTCAGTACAATGGCTTTATAAAGTGCCCTAATACAAACCTCTTCGGGATAAAACACTTGTAAAAATGTGTGAAGTAGGATAATTCCTGAAGAGTCCGGATCCAGGCAAGACTCCATGAAACTCACACTATATTTTTGAAAGGAAAAATGCATTCAGTTTATCAACGGACGAATTTAGTTAAGTGTGATTCAAGATACCTGAACCACCGCATTGCAAAAATAGCATAACATTTTTTCAAACATTTCTATAACTTACTAGTCTTGATCTGACTCAAGTTCAAGTTCTTCTAACACATCTTTTAATTTAGCTCTCTCGATAAAGCCGTTTTCTGAAAAGACGCGAGACTCGTATTAAGAAGCATCCTATCACCCCAAAGTATTCATTTCTTCGTTGGCCCGACGATTCTCTGTTGTCACTGATAGTGAATAATTCATACTACGTGCATGGAGCATAAAAACTGCATGGAACATAATAGGCCCACAGCAAATTAAAGAAACTTTGAAACTTTCCCATTGTAATTATTGGAATGTATGGAACTCTATCTTGTTGCCAATACGTAATTTATTTACAAAGGTATTATTTAGAAAAACATACTTTATACCATAAAAAAAAGAAAGGGGAAGATAAAAACGAGAATATTTCGAAGGCATGCATAGAAATATATTGATTACTGGTTATATTTAATCTGGAAAACAACAGTTCCTACCTTGAGTATCATACGTCTTAAATATTCTTATTGCGTTATCGACAGGTCGTTTATCATCAACATTCTCCTATGGAATAAACACATTCTATTTACTCTTTACTGTAACACTTATCCAAAGTAAGAATAGAAGCGGGAGAAATAATGGTCCTGTTTTACATTGGTTGTGCAGTTTATTTATCTAAGTGCAAACGAGGTGTCATGTAGCTAACACTCATTGCAGCACTAAAAGCACTATCGTGATAAATTTAAAATCGCCATTCACCCATTTACGTAATTACGTTATCCTCCCGACATCGTAATATTCACCCAAACGAACCAACACTCCAAGTTTGATATAATACGATTTTGTTGAGAGATTATAGTTAAAGAATAGAAGACAGAAATTCCAAAAAAAAATAATATTCTAAAATATGGTTATATAATAGTCTATTAAACAATTGCGTAATTCTTTCACCAGTAGTCCTACCTTAGTGAACAGGACAGTCAAATGTGTCTCGCTGGCCAGCAGCCATATTGGTTCTTTCGGGCTCTTTAAGAAATTTCCAACCTTGGAAGATATAATACTGGTATCATGCATGTGGAAAAAAGCTCTAGAAATCATAATCTATAAAATCATTTAAAATGTCATGCAGTTCAGCCTTGGCCTTATTGTATTATTTCACCTTTTTAAACATAGCTATGTAAAATTTTATTACTTTTGTGCATAAACTATTGTGACATGTATATCACGTTACTCATTTGATCATAAGAAGAACAGGCGTACAAAGAGCGGGGCTGGGGGGGGGTTGGGGCAGAACTGTATAACCGTAAATATCGATCACGTGATTGGGAAACTTAAATGGCATAATAGTAAGGCGAACAATATTGATATTAATAAAGAAAGTGAAACGAAAGAAAAGTGAACAAATGAGAGCCGGTTCTAAGCTTTCTTTCCGCCTACACGCCAATACATGGAAAGATATAATAATTTAGCTATGTACCTCGCAATACCGCATCGATTCCAGTAATGATAGAAAACCAATACTTGATTGTTTCGGTATTCCTTTTAATACTAATAAAACACGAGTTTTTATATAATTGTTGTAGCTTGGGGGTTGTATATTAGTTCTCCATAACATTGCATTCTAAAAGAGCAAGCATCAAATGTAGCAACGAAATTCAAACGTTCTGAGCTTGGAGCTTTTAGGCAAACAAAAAGGGAAAAAACTTTTACATAACTCTCAATAATTAATGTGAGGTGCCCGTATATAGAACGCTCAGCAACTTTTACAGGCAATTGAAATATATATAGTAATTGTGACAAGTCGACAGTCACAGCTATTACCCTATAATTATATGTCACCTACTTAGTCCACCAATATCTCGTTCCAAGTCCCAAACGTGCGAAACAGCGTATCCAGTCAGCATTAAATTAACCAGACTTTGACTGAAAATTAGAGATTGACAAAATCATATTTATTATAACATGCAGTCATGTCACCTTATACATCTTTTCTAATTATTACATAGTCACCGCAACATTATTTTATATTCGATGCGTTACTTCAAAGTTATCGTCAAAGTATAAGAATTTACAAAAATTCATGGAATGAAGTTTATGTTTTGCATTAGTTAATCATACTCAAGAATCCAGAGAGGAAATCCCAAAACGACTAAACGAGTATATACATCACACAAAACTGAAAAATTTCCACCTACCCACCGTGACCATGAACAGGGTCGATAAGGGGACTAGTGAGAGTTTCATCCATTTCTGACTTGATATTCTCAATTCCCTATAAAATACGTCTCTGATAAATCATTCGGACCGCACCATACATATAAATGCTGGTAAACTTGGTTGCTTTCAGGCAAGTAAATGACAGAAATCAAGATTGAAATACAGAAATTACCTTGCTTAACAATATAGAATATAGGAATAATAACACACCAAACGTGCCTTCAAACTGATGAATATTCTTTACGATAAAGTCCTCCAAATGCTCTGATTTACGACACGAAAACTGTCTAAATGCATAAACAAGCAGTGGTTTTGGAGACCACACACCAACTTTGCCCAGCTATAATATAGGATAGTCATCCATAGGTAATCCAAATGTGCACTTTTGATATGGTGCGTGTGAATACCTACATGTAGCAGTAGCTATATTTAAAACTAAAAAGCTAATTTAGCTAATATCCTACCAAATTCAAGAGGAAAGGTTTTTGCAGAATTTCAGATTAAGAACAAGATTCGTTACTTTGAAAAGTCTCTTGGGATTATTGAAAAATGGCTTGTCTTTTACGGAATTTTTCCGAATTTATGGCGTTTGCTTATAGTTGACGTATACGATATTTTTTCGCACTATTATAAGCCCCTGGTACTGAATTAAATGTATTTATTAGTAGAATAAAGGAAATTAATATCGAAGGGTTGGACCTCGCTTGGTTACCCGGCCGGGTATTTGGCTCGGGGGTATTTTATGATTGAAAATGACAGTAAAGAATATTTAATGAGCTTAGCTCCTTTGTATCGCCAACCTCGTTCGCTTCGCCGTGTTGCCGTCTCCACCCCTACCGATCCGCAGCGGGCAAAACTAGCTACGTTATTATAGTCGCAGTATTTCATTGACCCACGCCCAGCCTTGTTGGGCCTGTCTGAGTATAGTAATTAGCCATACAGTACTTCTCTTAATTCATACATTCAGGTAATTCATCTAGCTACTTATATAGTGATATAATCGCAGCCGTTATATAAATCAAGTGTAATAACCTTAATATATAGAAATAGTGATTTTGGCATGCAGTATAGGAATAACTTTTTCTCGATTAGGTTTTTACGAATCCAAGAATATTTTTAGGTATTTCGCTATTTACATAATATATACATGATATAATAAAACATTGTTAATAGAAGGTATACTTTTAATTCGCTATAAGTACTGTACTTCAGGTTAATTTACCTCAACGCAGAATGAAAAACGTCTTGTGTCTGAGATTCTGTTTGAGAACATATGTTTCTATGATAATCTTTGCATGTGCATTCACAGGTCTCTTCGCCTGTAGGAAAATGAAATACAGTTGTTGTTTTGGTTGTTTTTCATTTTTCCTTATTATAGGCATACAAACCTTGTGTAGATGATTCCCCAATAGTTTGAACTGTTTCCAATCTTTCGTTTTCACTGCCCTCATTTATGTAATGATTTTTCATAAGAACCACATGGAAATTTTCTGTAGTCACCAATTCCCATATATCAATAAGAGTTTGACATAGTAAATGCTGTCTGTCTTTGTCTATAACAATAAGGATATACATACACAACTAATTATTACAAGATAGATAAGTATTAGAAGTTGCATAGTTTAAACTTATATACACTCTGGAGATTTTTCCTTTAAACAAACAGGTTGATGAATTGTGCTACTGCATAGCATACAGTTCGAAGAGCCAGTGATATTTTAGTATGTCCTTATTCTCTTACTAGGTAATAAGTTATGGTAACAATCAGTGCTTAAGGGTAAGTATAGGTTGAGCATAGCATTCATAATGTTTCTCCAGGGTGAAAAAAATCTTTTCGCGGTGGAAGGAGAATCACATTGTTAGTTTTCAATATTGTTCATCAGCGAAAAGGTCAGCATTCTGTATGAAAAACTATTTTAAAAAACAATAAGGTTGGCCTAAATACATGAGTTAATCAACTACACCAGGGTTATTACCTGAGTTTACTGTTTCCCGGCCTGGACCTGGTTAAACCTAATTGTAATGAGGTTGATATGTCTGACTTTAGTGCAAGATAAAAAATCTCTTACCATTAATTGTTCGCCAATCCTCTTTTTCTGCTTTTTTACATTTTTTAAAAATTAACCGCCTCACTAAATATGCCTACAATATATTGTAATCATCAAGAAAAATATAATTAGAACAAAGTTAGACTGCATTCTGTATCGGGGAGAGTATAGGAATTGCTTTACTGGTACTAACTTTAATGGACCTACATTAAATAGTATAATGTACCACTATGTCACATATATTGTGCTTATGATTATCAGCATGTTGCATTTCTATTTAAGTATAACCTGCTATGAAACACAAGACTAAAGTGTTGATTTTGAGTAGGTGTAGTCATGACTAAAGCAATTTATGTTCTCTGTACATGCAGTTTTACCCAAAAAAGAGAAAATGCATTATGTGGAATTTTTACAAGCATGGACTGCAAAGGTTATTACCTGTACAGATGCAATCACCGAACATGGCCCACCATAATTCTGAATCAAAGCTGTAGGTTCATCTTCGCTGAAGAAAAACCCTATAAATGCAGAATGCATCAATGGAATTATATCTTCATTTTGTTATTTTAACTCAATTGAAATAGCTGGAAATTTACAAATAAGCACTCCCTACATAGCCCGAGACCTTCCAATATTATTTTACCTGCCATACTTTACCTTACTATACCTTACTTATATACTGTACTTGCCAATTCCTGGTTTACTGGATAGTTAAAAGTGATAACAACACCTATTGCCTTTAAAATTGAGCTACTCAAGACTCAGGGGTGCTTTAAAATACAATATTTTAAGATTGAACTTTTATTTTTGTGATTATTGCATAAAACTTCATGAATTTCATCTATGTACTAATAATAATAATAATGATAATAAAAATATTAAGCACGTATATTGCAACTAGTATACATGAATATACAATAAATTGTAAATAAAATTTCATACATAAAATGTATAACCATTTTTATTGATTTATTGCAATTCAAAACGTTTTGTGAAAAGAATTTAAACATTAATACATATGCCATCAAAAGCTACCTTGTGACCATCGCTGAAAGACATCGTGTTTCGTGTCAACAGACCATGTCAAGGGAAATACTTCTGACAACTTAGAAATATCAACTCCACTATTCGCCGCCATTTTTAAATTTTCCATAACCTTCATAGTTCTTAGCAATTTGCGCATGCTCAGTGCCAAATGCGGTTTTTGTGCCACAGAATTATATAAGACAGAAGAAGTCTTCACCTTTCGTATTTTCTAATGTTTTGTGTCCAAATTTTTTTAGAAATGGAGTAATGGACACGTCATTTTACGCCATTCTTTTCGATTCTGGTGTGTGCCACTGAGCTATAATATAATTCCGAATTATAGTATAGCTCAGTGATGTGTGCACAGCACAGAACTTAGTGCCCCGTCAAAAAGTTCCGTGGGAAATTTAGCTTGAGAGCCTGAAGCCCCGTTTACACTACACTCGATTTATTGGCACGGCACGGCTAAAATGGGTACCCGTGCCCATTTCATCCGCGCCCGGCCTTTGTTTTGGTATCCTGAAAACTAATAAAATTGGGCACGGGTACCAATTTTAGCCGTGCCGATAAATTGACTGTAGTGTAAACGGGGCTTAAACTCCCAGAGCTGAACTCCTAAGACGACATGAGCTCTGGTTTCGCAAATTATTATTTATTTCATTTCATTTTTCTTTTGGAAAGTCATAACGAACAAAAATCGCTGCTCGGATTCGAACCATCGACTTAAGCCGGTTTTCCACTATCGATATTTTTCGCGCGAAGCGACTTTATTCCTTTGTATTTGAGCAATTTGTTCCAGATGGTTGCAGTTGAGAGCTCTGAGACAAAAGTAAAATGTCACTTCGCGCGAAAAATATCGCTAGTGGAAAACCGGCTTTACCTCTCGAGAGTCAATCGCATTTTTCCTAATGCTTTCGCGCCTCTGAAACACCCACCAGTTGCTTTTTCCCTTTCGAAACAATTATTCGGTTTCAAAAATAAACAACTGAATGTCTCGTTTCCCTTCGAATTGATATGCATGAATTGATTCAAACTTAATTGAATTGAATTTATTCGAGTTGAAGTGAATCTAATAAAACTGATATGATTACGAATCTAAGAGAATTGATTTAAACCGAATTGATTGGAATTGGTTCCCATTCGATTGATATGAGTTGACTTCATTCTAATCGCATTGAATTTACTTGGATTGATTCACACTAAATTGATTTCTATTGATTCAAATTGAATTGACATGAATCGATTGTACTGAATTGAATTGAATCGAATAGAACTGAATGGAATTCAAATTATTCGAGTTAAATTTATTCCAATTGAATTAATATTATATACAACTGATTCTTATAGAATCAATATAAAATTATTTAAACTGCATTGATTTGAATTGATTTAAATAGGATTGATGTGAATTGACTCGAATTGACTTGAATTGAATTGAATTAAACTGAATGGAACGGAGCTGAAAGAGTTGATTCAAAAGATTCCAATTGACTCCGATTGATTAATATCAAATTAAATTGATTCAAATAGAATTGATTTGAATTGAATTAAATTCGTTTGAATTGGTTCAAATAGGATTGATATTGATTCATTCGAATCGAATCAAATCGAATCGAATTGATATGATATGAATTCAAATTATTCAAATTGGATTGATTCGGATTAATTAATACCAAATTGAAATAATTCCAAATGAATTGTTCGGAATCGTTTTTCAATGCAAATGATAGGCTGGGTTGACGCATGCGCAGACGATTTTCCGCGGTGTTGCCGACGTCACAGCCTGCCATCTTCGATTACTTCGTGCAGGAGTTTGTATAAAAACGTGCATCTACTCACAACATATTTCTTTTGAGTTGAACAAAATTTGAATTACTATTGTAACCCTTACTCATCAAAGTGTATTTGTCATGCGAGTTCTTTATCTGCACTGCTGCCATATCAGGCTATGAGATTACTTACAAAGGTAAGTCGAATTCGCGGCGGTTAGATTACTCACTGTATATATAAGAATGATGCCAGTCGGCAGACCTTATAACTAAGCAGAAGACCTCGCATACGAATTTGCGATTGAAGTGTTCAAATTTGAATTTCAACTAATGTGAACAAAATGGTTTTCTTTTGTATGTGGTTGTAAAGCTTGTGCGTTTTATATATACGTGTATACATTCATGTATACTGGCTCGTCTTAATGGATATATCACATACATTTCAGTATATAAACAGTCATCATGTATTACATAATACTGTTTATAATGTGTGTGATATATCCATTAAGACGAGCCAGTATGGTCCTGATCCCCTGATTTAATTTGTCGGTGGCATGCGCGGACGTTGGAATTAGACATAAAATATCGTTGGCCTAGGTTGTACCACAGTTAATACACATGCACTTGGTCTTTGTTCTTTCTGATTTGAAAGGCAAATGTGTTCTTGTAACTTGAAAGTGTGTACGTGAAATAATGGACACGATTGTTTAATATAGTGATGATTCAGTTGAATATAACTTGAATTAAGATTGTGATGATTTACCAACCAATGTGAAATATGCATGCCACATTCAACACGACATAGAATAGGATAGAATTGCACCCGTGGACTTGCAAGTCGTACAGTATGCTCTTCCATATACGCGTCTTGTCAAATGCAAATCTTGATTTCCACCGTGAATGATCAGGCTAACCTTACAGTTTGTCCGATTTGAAAATCTGCTGTATTGAAGTGTTCAGAATTAATCTTCAACTATAATGTGAACAAAATCGTTTGCTTTTGTTTGCGGTTGTATACCGCTTGTGGGTTTTGTGATTATACAATTTATATTAAGACACCTGTGATTTTTGATGATTGTGAGAGGTTATTGGTAGTTTGTCTTAATATGTTATCACTATTCCAGCAAATCTCGTGTAAAGGTCTTTAATCGAGTTCCAGCGCGTTTCCAAGTAATTGCGTTTGCTTTCTGGATAAAGGCCCTATAATTTATATAGTTTGTTCTAACACCTGAAAGCTGTGCGGAAGTGCATATAACTAGATCCCCAAAGGAAGCTTTGACAAGACAAACAAAATTTTCAGTCCCCAACATTTCTAGCTGTATAGTTGTCGATAAGGGAGGACGAACGCGAGGACAGTTTTCGGAACACTAATGTGCGCATGATATTGAAAAATATAAAAAAATATAGACGTGCTCTGGTTAGAATATTTATTATTTCACGAGCTTTCGACTTGGCAGTCGAAATGGAAGTGTTACAAGATAGGAGTTTACAATTACAAAGCATTCAATTTTTAATATCTATATTTTCAATATGATTAACCCTGGTTACGCATCAAATATATTTAAACTACTGTGTGAGATTCTAATACTCTGAGTAATTAATGGTTCGTCGCTAGAAGCTAGTTTCTTTAGAAATATAATGCGTTTTTTTTATGCTCGCTTGAACATGAATATATGAATATATATATACCTCATCCATGCATGCATTTAAGCTTCTGGCGACGGCCCTGTATTCAAACAATAAACATCCATACATTTTTTAGTTCTTGTAGGCGTAATATCATACTACTTTTAGTATCCCGAACAGATTACACCGCAATAATTATTTGTATTTTAATCCGACTAGTTGCATGCAAACCAAACACATGCAAACTGAAAGTTCCTTAAGGCTGCTTTCCACTTACGCGTTTTTTATACGCACGTACACTTACGGAAAATTTTAAATGCTTTTAAATTTTTATCATTTAACATCTAGATCAACTAATGCATACTAAAACATGCAGAAAACTAAGTTCCTTCGATTTATTCACTTAATTTTTTCAAATGTGACATGTATAAGGATTTAGACTTTTACGTGCGTGTACGTGCGTATTAGAAACGCGTAGGTGGAAAACAGCCTTAAGTCTGATTCTCATATGTCACCGACGCTCGGCGATGGCTATTGTCGGTGATCACCGGAAAAGCGCTTTGTTATTCTCAGTCTGTATAAATTTTCTTCGTCTGCGACCACAAACAATACATCGCCGACCGTCAGTGACATATGAGAACCAGGCTTTATGCGTTATCTTGTACAGGGGTGTATAGGAGCCGGGGGGTAAGACGGTCAAAACCCCCAACTTTAAAAATGAAACAAAGTGCCTTTTTGCTTTGAGGTAAAGATTGAGGTTTTTTGGAAAATTTCAATTATCAATATTGTAGTTCTATGATATTGCATGGCTTCTATATGTGTCATTAGTATGTTAGACATGGTATAATGATACGTGTCAACGATAATGAAATTTCCGTTTCACCAGGCAATCATTTTGATCTAAAATAACCGATGTGACGTTGCATTTTCATCAGGTAATAAATACAAACTGCCCCATGGCCACTGTAAATATCAATATTTTGTTTGGGACACCCTGTACAGTGCACGTTTCAAAATATTTTACGGCGAAGTATCGCAAGCTAAAACATATCCAATTGTACGAATTCTTGACTTAGGCGTAATGCTTGTAGTTGGAATTCGATTGAAAACATTTACCTGCTTGTAATTACATCTCGTTAGAAAACAAGATGCGAAGGTACCCTGCTTAAAAATGCTCTGTAAGATCATGCTGAATATGCTTATAGACATTAAATGTCTTATTTCGTAATTTTAGTTCTTCAATATGGGTATATTGCAGAAAGCAGAAGTGCACAACGTTTTCTTCCATAAGAATCCATTCTTTATTAACTTTATTTGAAAATTGAATAAAGGCAGACACTATTCTAAATTATTTTTTGCCTTAGCAAACTAAAGTGGCCTTTCCACCCCTACCACCCCCGCCCCTTCCACCCCCCACGGTGATCTAGTGCCTAAGCCATACAGGCTGGGAAAGCCTAGCTAGGGGGTAGGGGGTGTCCAAAAGGCGAATGTTTAAGTAGACTTACACAAAGTGACACACTGTGGTCCTACACACAGTGGCTTACCTGTTCATCCGTTTTTTATATTCTCTCAGCAAATTTGTATATTTTTCACAGGTCTCAGCCTGGTCTCAGTTTATAGATGAGAGTTCAAACAATCACAAGTGGGGAAATTAGTCGTATTTTAATTAGGCAAACCGCTTCAACAAATAGTGAAATCTGCCATAGTTATTGACATTTTGCGTGCCGCATAACAAGTTTAGGTTCTCAAAATATCGTGATGTTGCAACCGTTTTCCTATCCGCAAGTCTTATTAGTCACAACACATAATCAATCCGATTTATTCCACTGTTCTGTAAGCATGATGACAGAAAGTTTGTTTGTACACACAATTTACAATTTATAGGTATGGATAACAATATATAAATTCGTAACTCAAGCACCATGACCTTCGTCATATGTTCTTTTTCTCTAGTAAATTTTAAAATTTTGTAGCCCTATTTCGCATTTTATAAGTTGCGTTAATCCCCACGAGGATATAAATTGGCGAAACAAGTCATTCAAAGTATAGCATTAGATGATTTCAATAGTTTGAGGGTTTTTTGGGACTTCCTGTACAGGGTGAGTAAAAAAAACTGACACCTTTGAAATTCAAATTAGTCGCATAGCGGCTCTAATGTGACAGAAGTTACTTAAAATATTTCATAGGTATACAAAGCATATCATATTATTCCTAAAACATAAAGTTTGTTCCCATTGGGAGTTAAAATGCATTCTAAGATCTGTAAATACAAAAGAACAGTTTTGTCAAATCGTTTTTGTTGATTGTACATGGGAATTGTCATATTCCAGCCATAAGTTTGCCGCTAATTTGAATTTCAAAGGTGTCAGTTTTTTTTTACTCACCTGTATAGTTGGTTGCCGTGAACGTATTAACTTTCATTTATATCATAATTATTCATTTCTTTTAAAATTAATTGTTTTCGCAGTGAATGAACACCGCAAAACTTTAGCCAGGAATAGGTCTTCGAGAATAGCCAGCCTTTAATTGCATTTGGAACCATTTTAAATTAAGGTAAAAGTGCTTATGTCGAACATTTCTACACTTGTGGGTCCCAACGGGGTGCTTAGGCATTCAAACTTTAACTATTACATTGTTTTAGGTGGTTTCAATAGTTTTGGTTTTTTTGGGACATCCTGTATTTTCCATCGCAATTATCCCTTCTCTGGGTTGAATAATGAAAGTAATCACCACACAAAGATTACATTCACGACCCAACGTTTTTCATCAAGTGTGATCTCGGGTGCCGAAACTTTGATCCTTGGTATGTAAACTTGGATGTGAAAACTTCAAGATCGCCCCTGATGAAGATACTAGACCAGAGTGTCGAAACGTTGGGTCGTAAATCTTTGTTTCGTGATTACTTTCATTAATAAAACCATTGTAGCAATAATTGCAATGAATTATGATAACTGTGCAATGTGATTTGATATTGATATTTCAGTGACATCCCTGCGTATTTACTTTTATAAACCAAATGATCTGAGATTCTGGGACGCTTGTCCTAAGAATCGGAGATCCATTGTAGTATTTTCCGAAATAAGGCCAACGTAACATCAAGGTTAAACACATTATCTGTTACCATCACTTTTAAACACGTGAAAATTGTACGTGTCATGATGTGTTGTGTTCTAGCTGCCCCTACTTAAAAGTAGGTGTACTTAAAAGTAAGGGAAAGTGTTCTGTTCCACGAACAGTAAATGGAGCAGCCTGCTTGAATTCGCAGGTTTACGTCATTCTCGTGTGCGCCCGCATACTTATAACAGTTGCAACAACCGCTGACTGTATTAAATTTCTGGGCATGCATGCAAGGTTGACATGTTTGCCAACTTTTATCTTGCCGATATTGAGTTTTTAAATAGATTATTTCTACCGGGTTTCCCCCTACAATAAAAAAACCCGCGGAGCTATCCTACGGCCTTTAACAGTATAAGGATCTGCGAGAATTATTTATTCCCCTTAAGGTTTGATTTTAAGGACTTTAAGGGCTTCTTTCCACTTACGCGTTTTTCATACGCGCGCATACTACAGTCTAAATTCTTATGCATGTTAAGTTGAAAACTTAAGTGAATAAAGCGTCACGCAAATAAATATTATGTGTTTGCGAATATTACTTTAATTTTAGGAATCAGTCAAAAAATGGTGTTATTATTAATAGAAATAAACCACTCAGAATTATTGACTCCGATATTTTGTAATTGATCGATTTGTTTCATTTCAAGAATGAGGAATGGCTGCAGCTGATGAAGAACGGAGATGGGGATTGATTGGTGGAAGTGTAGCCAAGATACTAACACCTGCTCTCAGAAATGTGCTTGGAAATGAATTAACAGAATGGTACGACTCTTTGACCATGCCTCCTTGGAGAATCGATCAGCAAACATTCAAAAATCATATGAAAAGCTTGCCACCATCTAAAATAGAGTTGCACTATAGAAATATTAACAACAATGATTCACACAAGTCCCCGAAGTGTTATGATTATGCGGTTCGAGATCCTTTGTCCCTGGCGAAACTACTCGTAGGGCCTTTCATGGCAAAACATTTCACTGGTTTTGACAACACGATGGATCCCTCTGCTGCTTTATCAGTGATGAGCGAAGCAGAACCTTTCATTCGCTCTGGTGCTGCGGTTTTTGCGAGAAAGGTTAGGTGTGATATCAGAAATAAGTGGGCTCATTGTAATTTCTCACACTGGACGGAGGAAAATTTTCAAACTGCTTTAAGCGACATGATATCTTTAGTCGAGAAACTAAGCTTAAATTCAGAGGAAAAAAGAATTGTTTTGGACGAACTTGATAAAGGGAAAAGCTACAGTATGTATTTAATTTTATAATTTTTTCTCGAAATACTGTTTTGTTTAAAAAATAAATTAGTTTTTGAGGACTAGATTTAGAAACCTCTCTTTCAGGAGTTATCGTTAACTAAACATTTTACGTGTATTATGGTACTTTAACACATATTTTTACATTTTTACTAATTACTTATTCATGTAGCGTTTTTCCATCTTTAATCTCTATTTGCAAGGCACAAACATGGATTGTGAAATTCTTGATCTCATTTGGACAGAATTGAAAAAAATTTTCGAAGATGAAGATTCGAAGATTGATGAGGTAGAGTGACGAATATGATGAATCATTATAACACAAAGATGAATACATTATAACCAATATTACGGGTGTAAAGATCAGAATTAACAATTATGAGTATACAATGAAAAACATATTACTCTAAAGAAAGGACATCCTCGGAACGAAGGCAAAAGCGCAGTTTCGCACCCCACGCAAAATTTTGTCTTATAATTTTCACCTAAGAAAAACGTGGAGCCCTGCTTCCACCTGTTCTGCGGCCGATTGTTCAAAATTAAGGGTTAACATACAGTATAGTGCGCTAACTAATGTGGCTTAGAATTTTTAGAAAAGCTTATTAAAACTATTTTTCCAGAAAACGCTGTTCTCCTGTCTCCAGTCACTTAAGACTTCCTTGAACGCACAGCGTGGCACCTATGAATTTCAAGCACCGAAGCAAAACCCCTTATTTGAAGGACGTCAATCAGAATTACAAGAGCTGCAACACCTACTTGGACAAATTGATACAAGTAAACCTAAAGTGAACATTGCAGCTATCTGTGGATTGGGTGGAGTGGGAAAAACAAGCTTAGCTACGGAATACGCCCATCAAAGGAAAGATCACTATACCGGAGGTGTTTTTTGGTTCTCAGGTGAAAACAACACTGCCTTTGAAAATAGTGTTCACGATATTGCTGCTCGTTTTGAGACAATATGTGATAGGTTTGACATTACTTTATCCGCCACTTTAACAAAAATATCTCAAATAAGAAAACCTTGGTTAATTATTTTGGATAATATGGACGAAGGAGTTATTTCACAAAATATCGAGAAGGTAGCTTCCGGGCATTGGCAGAATGACGCGTGCGGTCATCTTTTAATCACCACTAGAAGAGAGTCATCTGATTTAGATAGTCATATTCGAGATTTTCACGAAAGATTTTGTTTGAGTCTTAGATGTTTTGAAATGGATGAGGCGAAAAATTTTTTATATCGCAGATCTGACAAAAAAGTTGACAATGAGGAGGCCGAGAAATTGATCGAAAAACTCGGCTGGCTACCTTTAGCACTTGAGCAAGCTGGAGCTTATATGAAATCACTCGATTGTACAATACCCGAGTACTCAAATCTGTATGAAAAACATCGACTTCGTGTCTTCAACCGACAAGCGGCACCTGGTGCTTCAGAATATGATTCAACTGAAAGACGCGCGGTTTGCACTACCTGGCAACTTAATTTTGAAAACATCATTCAAAAGGAAGACTTAGGCGTGGCTGCTAAAAGAGTCCTGTATGCATCTGCGTTTTTAAATCCAAAGGAAATTCAAAAAGATATCGTCAATATCGGTGAACCTCCCATCGAAGATGAAGAATATACAAAATATGTAGAGGAAGATGCAGGACGTCGGGAAATCTTGAGAGTGTTGACGAAATTTTCCCTTTTCAAAGAGAATAGCCACAGCCTCAGTGTCCACCACTTGGTACAGGAAGCCATACGGGAGTATATAAAACGTCTTCAGGAAGACGAGTCCCAAAGCGTTATTGATGCTATTCGTATGTTACACCATGCTTTCCGTAATTGCGCTTCACCCGACGAGCTTCTTATTCCTGTTTCTGAAGAAGGAAGGGAACGACCGTCGATTGTTTCCAGCGTTAATCCGTCACGTTTTTACCAATGGCATAAACTCTGTTCGCATAGTTACGAGCTGGTAGAGCATCTAAAGAGTTTAGTAAGGAAACCGGGTGGAAATAATAGAAAGATATTTCAACCAGAAGCCGCCAGAATTGTGTATGAGTGCGCAATTCATTTAAGTGTTAACTCCAAACACGACGAAGCGAAGAAAATGGAGAATTTTGCTAAGGAAATTTCTACAAATTTTCCCTTCCCCCACATTTTACCTTTGCCCGAGTTGGTCCGAAGACATATCCAGTATTCGTGCGAAATGCCAGCAACCAGCCAACAAGATGAATGCGGAGTCCAACAAATCACAGCGGAAAAGCTAAGTGAAATGCAAACGGGAGCAAACGATTTGTTTGAAAGGGGCTTCTATGATGATGCACTGAAAGTATACTCCGATGCCATTTTTGCATCCAGGAATACACCTCTGTTCGAGGTTACGTACGCGTTGTTAATCAAGCGAGCATCGTTTTATCTGAAGCTTCAGAAATATCATCAAGCCGCCCAAGATGTCGAAGAATGTATATTACATCGTCCAAAATGTTCAGAAGGATATGCGAAGAGAACATTGGCGCTGATTCAATTAAACGACATAGAGAATGATTTTGAACCCAATTTGAAAGGACGAAATTCTTCTCCGAAGGAAATGCGTCTGGTCGTGCGTTGTTCCAATATACTAGAATTTTCAGCGGCCCTCAAGAAAGTCAAAGAGTTGGCAATGGGAAGCACAGTCACTGACCAACCCAACAATTTACCAGTAATCGTACTAGAGCCTGGTAATTATGAAATTTCCGCGAAAACCATTGACCCCTCCCTTTTCTGTGATAAAAGCAAAGAATTCAGCATTGGAAGGTGCATCCTAACTGGAGAAGGAGAGGATTGTTCAGTAACTTCTGATGATAGCGTTAACTTTAGATTCGGTAATGATCTTTTAGCTTGCAATATCAACTTTCGTTTTGCTGAATGTTTTGTTCCTGATACAGCTGTAGTCAAGTTCTGGCATTGTTCTTTTCAAGGCTCAGGATTGAAGGTTGAGGGCAAACTGCAAGTTGAATCATGTAAATTCTTTAACTCCGCAAATAGCGGGTTGCTGGTTCTCGGTGATGTAAAAGTTAAAAATTCGAAATTTTACAAAAATGGAAAGGATGGGATTCAAGTGAGGAATGGTGGAAGTTTATCTGTACAAGGATCTAAATTGCTCGCCAATGAGCAAGGATTACTTATTGGCCCAGAAGCGAAGAAATGCGTTGTCGAAGGCTCGGAGATTTATGATAACAAGTCGCATGGGGTTGTTGTTAATAACATTGCTTCTGATATTACAATAAAAAGAAACAATATCTATGACAATGAGGGACTTGGCATTATTGTGAAAGAAAGTTCAAATGTATCTATATTGGAGAACGAGATTTCAGGTAACAGCAAATGTGGCATTTGCGTACGTAATAACAGCGAGGCTATATTTTTAAGGAAGAATGAAATCCATCGTAACCAATGCGGGGGAATTTGTTTGGATGTTAAAGATGTTGTTGTTGAAGATAACCACATTTCAAAAAACTTAGGAGATGCAATTTGCAAAGGAGAATTACAGCCTGAACAGAGAGGAAATAACATGCATGATAACAACGCAAGAGGTAATCAATTCACAGGGGAAAGTGAAATTAGATTGTGCTGCTATTGCAAGAAAACTGGAGTTGATTTAGAGAAGTGCGAAGAATGTTTTACAGCACAGTACTGTGGGAAAGATTGCAAGAATAATGATTGGGGAGACCACATGCAGATTTGCGATCGGTTGCTATCTGAGTCAAGCATGGTTCTAAATTATACACCAGATGGAGAATGTTCACATTCACAATTATATTCAGAGGATTTTTTACAGCCAAATACGAGCAGATTTATTGTAAAAATTTCTTTACAACGAGATCAGTCTGTGGTTCGACTATACGATTCTGCTAAGACACTGAATGGCACTCTAACTGGTGCTGATCAAGTTTCGAATGTAGTTCGGCAGTATGGTACAGTAGGTCAGGCCTCCCACACCTTGAAAGAATTATTTATGTGGGTTAAACGCCACACAGATGGGACAGTTCGCGTTTTTACTAACGTGTTTCCGCCCTCGCAGAGCTGGTAAATATCCATGTTGACCTATACAGGTATAGAATTGTAGTATATCTGAATAATGTTATAGATTAATATTTATTATTACCTTACCTTTTGCGGATATAAATTCTTCCAGCGTAGACGCGTATACTACTCGAAACACTGAAATCTACAGGATCATTCATTTTTTGAATAGCACAAGAGTAATTAAACATTTGAAACAAACACTCTGAACACAAATTGACCTAGTCAGTAGTCAATAACAGTGGCGTAGCCAGCCCGACAATTTAGTCATGCTATGGTAATATTTTGGTATCCATTGACTGTGAAAACAATGAATTTCTAAGGAAATGAATAATGATAATAACATAAAATTTGCATAGCATGACTAAATCGTCAGGCTGGCTACACCACTGGTCAACAACAACCGAACGTTCATTACTTCAAACTCCCATACATAGGACACTACTTTCAAATTACTGGGGCCGCTTGTTCAAAAGCAGGTTAAATTTAACCTTATAGGTTAGTGCTGAACCTGGGTTGAAATCCTTAACACTAGGTTAGTTAAACCTGGGTTAAAACTGTGTTGTTCAAAGCAGGGTTAGCGTTAACCCTGGGTTAAAATCATGAAAAAAATTAACCCTGCTAGCTAGGTGGTTTAACTTTTTAATCCTGGGTTAAATTCGATTCAAAATGGATGAATAAGGAGCGGAAACACGTAAATACGGATGATTCTTTATGAATTAAACAATTTTGAAAGGTTTTACGAAGAGTTTCGGACGGCAAAGAATTATTTAGGTTTGACTTCGTTCTGTTTCAGGCTTTCAGCTAATGCATTGATTTATATACCTTCGCTTCAATGCAATGAATACATGATAAATACACACAACCGTGCAAATTGAAACATCGTAATCGAAATATTTGTTTCGGATGCCATTGTATCAGGTATCTTAGCTCATTGTATTTCAAACGTTCAAACGAAGTGAAATTCTAAAATGGATAGTTTATAATTTGCTTTATTTTATTTCACATCGTCTAACATACAAAATGGTCTTGTAACATACAAAATTTTTGACGCTCGTTTATCGACCATCGAAAGCGTTCTTATATCCAATTTAGTCCTTAAAATACATTTAATCCTAGGTTAAATATTTTAACCCTGGGTTAACTAACCGTGCCACAAACCCTGCTTTGAACAACACAGTTTAAACCCAGGTTTAACTAACCTATGGTTTTAACCCAGGTTTAGCACTAACCCAGGCTTAAATTTAACCTGCTTTTGAACAACCGGACCTAGGCCTAGACCTGGCCTGAATCAGGTCTAGGACAAGTCCAGGTAATACGTGCTACGTTCACACTGTCTTCCTTATTGATGAAATCAGTTATAATTTTTGTCTACTATATCGTGTTGTTATAATTATTATGCATGTCTTGTATTCTGTTATGCTGTCAATCATTGTTGCAAATAATTATGTTATTCATTGAGTATCGCCTCGCCTGTATCATATTTCTACTTTATATATTTCACAATGTAAATAACGAATTTTATTCGCACTGAAGATGGCTTATAGTTGTTAAAGTCGAAACATGTTTGCTATTAAAAATGTTGTAGTTTATTTCAAATGCTTAATTATCCTTCATTTTCATCTTACATTTATAGAGAATCTACATAACGATTAGCCTTTTTCCAAAATCGATTAGAAAATTATAAATACTTCTTGAAACATACCTAAAATACGATCGAAGCAGTATTCGAATCTGTTCATTTTCTAGTCTCATTGACTAGTAACGTAAAAAGCTGGCAATTTTCAAGCTGATTTGCATATGCAAATTCGCTGTAGATAATTCCACTGCCATGCATAGTATGACAGGACTGTGTAGAAGACGTTTTTAATTGAAATATTAGATGACGAAATGTATTCAACGGAAGCACAGACGCAAAATGTATTAGTTAAACCATGCAGGCTAAAATTTAAGATTGGTATAGCCATTTTGAAAAAAGTAAATGTTAAACTTAAACGTCGAAATGTGTACTATTGATTGATAATTGATTAGAATGCAGAAAACTGTAAGATAGTAAAATAAATCAACAGACGAACGTTAGGGCTTCCCGTACAAAGAACTTTATGAAGACGCAATGATCGCTCGATACATTCAGTTTTGAAAGCAGATTATTTTTATTTCACTTAAAAACTAATTTCTAATCTGCTAAAAAGGCTTCTAGAAGACTTTTTAAATTCATTTTCCTCGCACAATTGTAAGTCCTTGACAGCTGTTCGGATACCATACGGCAGGATGGCTGGAAGAAAGAAGATGTGTATTATCACATTTATATCGTTATTTCACAAGCGAACTATTTTTCTAAATCAGTTATCGTATAAGCTTAGATTTCGCTAGCTCAGGAAATTGGTGGTTTGGATTAAATTAATGAGGGCCAACTGCATGCTTGTATTTCTAGTACTAAAATGTACAACCAACATATACATATATAATTGTGCTTACGAATAGTTTTAATGCTACAATTTTTAGCGAAATATCAATTCCTTTTTAAACAGAATTCCTTTTTTTACTTTAAATTTTTTTAATTTTCAACTTAAAAATAAATGCTTTCCCAATCAAATTCAAACGGAGGTGTCATACATTTGTTGCTAAGTCCACATATCAACTAATTACAAAAAAAATTGCATGCTTTAAAATACAAAATCTACCCATGCATTTACCCGTTCAAAAACACCTTACAAGTTTCAAAATCGTATATTTTTTTGCTGACTATTTAGTATGTAATAACAAAATGTATAGCCTGAGTAGACAGACGTCCTTTCACTCCTGCCTGAGGAGGAGGTGGGGGGTGGGGCAACCAACATATGCATATACAACCAACCCTTGCATATATAGAAGATATATAAAACGAAACAAGCTCCAAATAACATCATCTTGCAAAGTCAAGATTTGAATTAAGAAACAAGATGAAAATTGTTCCCATGTTGCATGCTTGCAAACTTTTGCTAATGCTTTCTGTATGTAAAACTATCCAACAAGTAGCTCGAACAATCTTGGTCATTTTATAATGAACAATCATACTTCATTACAAAATATCGTCGGCAAAGCGTGGGCCTTGGAGCGTAGGTAGAAAAGCCTAGCTTGTTTTGGTGTGTGCACAATTTGCCATGACAAAGTAAAGTTGCAGTAGAGGACTGGTGATAGTAAAATGGACAATGCATTAAGTGGCTGTTTAGGGTACATAAGGAAAACGTTTTCGTAGCTAAAAAATTACATTGTGATTTGTGAATCACCATAATAAATACTTCACGAAACTAGTAAGTAGGAGAAATAAATATACCCAACTGAGCGGATTAAGTGAATTCGTAGCCTTACAAACGGACGTTTTCCGACACATGCATACACCCTCAAGCCGTCAGTGCTCAAATTGAGAGTTGGTGAAAAAGAGAGTATTCTTACCAACAACATGTTTGCGAAGAAGGACATTTGTTACATTGCGATGTGCATGGGAAACCACCATAAGTTCCACACGGTTTGGTCATTCCGAAACTGCAGGATATTATGTTGTCTGGATGGCAGGAATGACTTTCTAGCGTTTCAGTCTGTGGACCTGCGATTAAGAAGTTATATATATCAGTACAATCCAACAAGTGTAATCTCATAAAATCAAAAATTTTTTCGTTTCGCCAAAGATTTTTAAACGGGGGTGATCAGGGAAGGCTCTATTAATTGACACGAAAAACAACGACAAACGTTTTATGCTAGTAAAAGAGTAATATGTGATTTGTTTAATCGTTCTTAGCCGAAACAAGAAATTAGGAATTTTATTTTGTCAAAATGTATTTGGCAAACTTTCCTTTATTAGAAAACTTGGCAATGCATGATTGTCTAAATGTGTTTGTACGAAAACAACGCATCATTACGCATGCATGCATGATATAAATTTGTCATAAAATTTGAGGAATCTAAGCTATACTTAACGCATTCGATTGATTCATCTTACCCGCACTTCAAATTTAGTTGTAGTGGTAAAAGGAAATAGAGTCTTAGCCGCATACACCAGTTAATCGTAAAGGTAGCTACATATACAATAAATCGAAACTTACTTCTCTTCCCCAAAAGCCCAGCTTGAACGCCATAAATAACGGCCACCAAAAAGAAACATGCCTTAAAAGTGCAATCCATTTTCACTATATAAATATTAAAAAATAACACTATTGGCAAAAATATTACGATCAGTGATGTATACAGTTTAACAGGCATGTGGAAGCCTGTGGCAATGAAAAATAAGGTGGTATGGCCACCTTTTCTAAGGAAAATATCATGACGTTTGTTTTTTATGACATTTACTTCGGAGCGAAATTTCATTCAAGACTTGTATAGAGCTGCACGCAACTGCGCGGGTTATACTGAACCAACTTACCACAAAAAGTGTTCGCCTTGAATACGATGAGAATTACAG